GTCTATACCTGTTACCTCAACGGATTGACGTGGCGTCTCCATACCTGTGTACCAACTTGAACATCAACATCACCTTGCCTCGGAGTCACGCGACTCGTCCTGATATCCAAGCGATCTGCAGTCCTTGATTAGCAGTCGCAAACACAAGATCGCCCACTTTGAAAAGCCTTTTTCGTGCCCCAAATCGCCTGGTGTATTGGCGCTGCATCACTGAATTGCTTAGTTGTAGAGACGGACGCTTGGGAGTCAGCAAATCTAGCGCGGTTCTCAATCTTCGAGCCATAAGTGATGCATTGGGTGATTTCCCATCCGATGAATTAGGATTCGGAGTAACTTGATAGTTCAACAGGAAACGTTCCAATCCTTCGTTCAGCCAGCCCTCCTATTTTGACTTCCACGATGCTCCTTTCGGAGTATCAACAAATCTTTCCGCTTGGCCATTTGACTGCGGATGATACGGAGCGGTCCTCACATGCTCAGTCCCACAAAATTCAGTAAATTGGCTGGACGTAAACTGTGACCCGTTATCCGACACGATTGTTACTGGTAATCCTTGCTGACTGAGGATATGTCTCCTAATGGGTTAGGTATGAGGCAGCAAGAATATCACAGAGGAAAGTTCGGTTCATTAACGGATACTGCTAGACTTTGTAAGTGCTAACATTAGCAGTGGTGGAATACCTATTTCGCTGTGGTTGATCAGCGATACGTCCTTCAGGTATAGCATCGTTGTTGATAAGTGTGATGCCATGCTACAGACAACATCAGGTGTACAGCCTAATATTGACCGAAGTTTTTGCACTCAAACCTGCGTGCGGTACACGTGAGAAAGTTGGTTTTAGAAGAAGTGCTTCCGCGACCATGGCAAGATGGCTTGTCCGCTGTTAATTATCGGGAATATTCCACCTTCGCCACCTCAGCTGGGTTGGTTCAAAATGAACTGTTTTGATTGCAGTGAAATGTTAGTTTTTCTTCTGGCCAACTCGCAAGCTCGATCCCCGTTAATTTGCACGCCTCTGCCTACAACAGCGCCTCACGTGTACCATTGTCAGCAATTCCAGAAATTACTTGCTGAGTCAGCATACAGCCTGTGAACTTTTGCTGGGGAATGAAGGCATACTAACAAGGTCGTACTGCGCGAGTTAACCAGGCAATGAAAATTTTTAAAGGACGCCTGTTTCCTGGTGCATACTGGAAAAAACGTACCTCACAGTAAACATATTCATGTGATAACCTTATGCACGATCGAGAGCACTGCATGCTTCTTTAACTGATTTAAATCCCTGAAGGCTCAAATCAGCAAACTGTCGCTGCCTCAGCTCCGTGCAAATGTCGAAGCAGCTACAAACTCTTTTCCTCACAAAGAGCAGAACAGAAATCTCTGATTAAATCCAGGTAGTTTTGGAAGGAACTTCTCCAAAGGAGCCAGACATCTGATGTTGGTCTGTTACCGCAATCAGTTCAAAAAGTTGATGGAGGCTGAATGGAATGCTTTATCTTTCGACTCGCGACGCCGAAGGTTGAATAAAAAAGGCAACATATAAACGTGATGTATATCGGTAAACAATTCAGTGATCACCCATCGGTAACACGAAGTATATCAAATATAACCATCCGTTTTTACACAACCCATGTGGCGTGAGTTGCTCTGTTTCAGCCAACCAATACAACATGACTTAGGAGGGACATGTGATAACTTGGAATAATAATAATATCTTTCGCTGCACAAAAGAGCATGGAGCGCTCAGCACCTCACACAGTGCCCCAAACTATTAAATGACGACGATGGATCATACTGCAACATCATTGGAGTACTTGATGTGGTACTGAGCTACGTTTTAGCTTGGCCTGCTGATGGAAATGAAACTTTCACAAAAGTCCAAAGCTTGTCTTCCTACGTCACTGGTCTAAGACCTTCCTTTGACACTTGTGAGTTAATCCATCGATTTGTCAACGCGTGTGCTCTTCCCCACTGGACGTACTGCTCCCTTGTGATTTTCTCCAGTCTTCTGGGTAAGCATTATATGTGAATTGTCAGGTCTTTACGGCACTTATCCCGATGTAGCGGAATTCGGATGCGTAGTTTTGTCAGCACACTTCCTTCTACACACACCGATTTTTGTGAGAAACTGGCATCTAAGATAATGACTAATACTAGTCATCCGTTTCATTTCACTTTATCTGAATGACTGTCAACTTCGTCCAGTGGGCAGAAGTGCAAGCCAATCAATGCTCGCACACAAGAATACCGCTCGTCGTTTATCCCTTATGATTCGTGTTTTCTGCCAGACCCTCCAAAGCTGTCGTTTTAGACCTAACCAGCCGATTCGCAGTATGTTGGCGATTCTGTCCGTTATTTATCAAAGCGATTTATAATACTCTTCTGTAATTGCTTGTCTACTCGTACCTTTTTGGGATGCTGTGTTCTAGCTAAGTATACACCCGCCAAACATGTAGAAAATAACTTCTGATTTGATTTGAGTTGATTACAGTGGAGTTGGAATAAACAGTGATAATGAGGTGAGAAACACGGAAGAAAATGCCGGATATTTCAAGAAACCGGCAAGGAAAAGTCAGCAACGAAACTAAAAACGTACATAGGCTATTGACCAACATGGCGCCCAATGCCTGTTGGTAATGGCTTTGATCATTAGGTTCATCATGGGTAGAATCCTTTTGTACACATTTGGCTATATATATTCATCACAGAAACCAAATGTTCACACGCATGATGTCAGCTTATAAAATTGTCCGCTAATTTGAAGACTTCATTTGAATTGGATGTTATGGAATAGTTATGATGCGCCTTATTTGTTAGTCAGAACGGACGAACATAGTTCACAGGTGGCACCATTTGCGCACAGGTTAGCCAGTCGAATTCGAAACGTTGCGAGCTAACGTGATCTAGCCGCCGAGGAACACTCGAGTGGAGACAGGCGACGGAGAACGCGTAGTCTAGTCCTACTGCACTGAGACCCAACGAGAAAGAAAGTCTGACTGGCACATGAGCTGTTACCGAGTTACTGTCAGTGTGGCTTTGTGCTTTAACTTCCGCAGTGTGCTGATGAGCGTACAGTGAGTTCACTACAGTTTGCACAGCGTATGCATCAGCACCCCGGTTTATTGTGCCTTCAAAACTAAGTGCAGGTGATGGATCGGCTTTTACTTGCTCAGGCTGAATCGTCGTATGAGGTTAGCGTGTCTGAGGTGAACCCGGCGAAAACTGCGCAAGTTTCGCGGAGCTATTCCAGCTCCGCGACAAAAAGTTTACCCGGTCTGACTTGCACACCTTCGTAAACAACCACTTGCTCACGGATATTACATTTCATTGACTGGTAGTGATCATGGGAGATTAGTTCGCAAAGGAAAACAATCGGTAACTTCTTATAACTGGACTTTCATATATGTGAGTTTACAACCATCTTTATACAATATGGCTCCAAAGCAAAGTTTATTCATTCCAGAGCCCCTGGAAATTCTGTAAAAGCTGGTATGGATAATCGGATACTCTTTTCCATGCTCCAATATTATAGCATCACTCACCGTATCTTGAAGTAGATCGCCAAGTTTCCCACTCGACGAACTTTATTGGTCAGAGTCCGGATGTCCTTATGTGACCCCATACAAGTCGAATGTGGCTTGCTCTTGAGTTAAGTTCTCTGGCCACGATTGAATTTGGGGTTTCACAATGACCTTTCATGGACAGCCGCTTCCAATTTCCTAATGCTCGCTGACGAGATCAAGTCATAGCGCAGGATTCAGACTGATACCGATCCAAATTTGCCGCAGCGTGACGTAGATACGGTGAACCAGTGATCAACACAAAATTTTGCTGCAGTTCAAACTGAGCAAATGCAAGGTATTTTTCATACCACAGAGTACCTACTCCAACGGGCTAGAATCGCAAGTACTGCAACGATCGTCCGTTGAACGCGACCTGAGTGCATTGGTTCAGAACCACTTGGGTTGTTCCGGGCAAACCGAAAAAGCATGGAGAACTGGTAAATAACACGTAGGTCGGTTGCGACGATTTTTCGGAAAAGAGGTCATCCGTGTGTTTTCCGACAGATGCTCAGTGCGTATGTTCGCTCACAAGTCGAACACATACTCCATGCTTGGCACCCATAGCTGATGCTCAACGTTACTGCACTGAAACAACCTCAAGGTCGGGCGCCTAAGTTAGTCCTCGGAATGAGAAGTCTACCATACGAGGAGAGGCTGAAACGTATGAAAGTATTCACCGGGTGTTATTGCTGATTAAGTGGCGACCCGATAATGAGATGCTTTTGCACAGTTCAAATTATATATACCGCTACGTACAGCAATTGGACAGTAACAGAAACTTCTGAGGACACTGAACGAAGATTGCAGTACTGCATAGCGGCCTGGAGTGCCGTAGCAACTTCCTTTCCATTCGGGTGTATCACAATTGAAACACTTTTTCCGGATCAGTGGTTAATGAGTTTACATGAGCCATATTTAAATGATGGTTGGATAACGCAGGCAGCCACTTTATTTTGCTTACGAGCACTTAATCTCCCTCCTCCTCAGGGCAGATACATTGGATTTATTCTATATTGCGGGGATAACTATCGAATTGCACATGATAGTCGCTTTGTTAGTCAGTAAAGGTATCAATGAGTTTATTTATTAACGCGTTTTGATAACCTCACCAGACGGGTCATGTGCAGTAGCGCTTCTTAGCCCGTATAAAATTGTTTTCGTTGTTCATTGTCAAAATGGATTTCAGAGAGTAAATATGACCTTGCGCAACTTTGTCACTGACTAACAACCTGAAAATTGCAGGTCACGTTTAAATTATGTTGATGTCGTTCTTCATCTAGTACAAACCGCAAGACCGGCAAATTCTGGTCAAATTCCTTTTTCACCGATGAGCGTGGTGCGATATTATAGGCCACTCTCTTGGCAATGCTACTAATGGCATGAGATCATCTTGACCTATAAAGTCAGCCAGTTTTGAAACTAGCCGTTGCATAACTATGAACTGCGTCTTGCAAACAGTGGCTTTGGTAAGTTGAACATTTTCCGCTTGGTCATATTCGTTCACATTAACTGCGTATAGTAAGTAAGAAAGGATCAGCTTTTTACAAAAGCAAGATCATTTACGGTGGAAAACAGTTCTTGAGAGCGAAATGACCGAGGTCTTCTTCAAAGTGAACCAACGTCGAAATAAAGATTATTTGTCGCAATCCAACCAACCAAATCCGACTTTGCAGTCCTAACCACTGTGTCAAGCATTGCATAAGTATATTAGCGGCAGTGATTATGGCATCAGCCGTGTCGAAATCCAACCACACGGCGAATACTAAAAATCCAAGTTTTAAAACATGTTATGTTGCTATGGCGAGAGAACATAGGAGGTTAAGTCCAAGTCCAGTTAAATACAGTCCACAGTCTCAAATGAGCAATTCTGACAATTTCCAACTTAAGTAGCCATTAATCTACATGGGTGTGAGCTCCTTCTTAATTTAAGACAATATGCTTTGCGAGGAGCCGATTTCGCCAGATAAAAGTCAAAGTGAGGAAGTTGGATTACTTCAGCTCACAAACTCTGCCCATTTCAGCTTTTGTATTATCTAATATTGCGTCTCACTAGAGATACTTTAACATTTAACATTGTTCTTCAGGTATCCTTCTCAACACTTGTTTTTCCATACATCTGATTACCAGAGTAGCATTTGACGCACGACAAAATGCGCCATACATTTGAATTTTAGCGATCAAGATAGTAGGTGCAATTTTTAAATAACTGGCCGCCGGTAGAGCCTGCGTAATTGTAGCTGACGTCGTGATATCCGTAGCCCACATGCGACAGGCGGTGGTCGTGTGGGAACAAGCGGCATTGCAGTGTGTTAAAGATCAACCCTTTACAGGGAGCACTACATCAAGTAGTTCACAGAACTTAAACAAACCTGCTAATTCAGTTAACTTATATTACGCTCAGTTGTTCACACCGTTTCAACTACTGAGGAGGTTCACGGATCCCGAACACAAATATTTTTGCGAGTCAGTTACTTCTGACTTTTTCATCGTTGTTTATCCTACAAACTATCCCCTGTGTCGCGCATTACAGTTTTGTATTTAGAATGTCCTTTTAGCCGATACATTGCCAAGCAATATCAAACAACAAATTAGGTAGAAGGATCTGAACTAAATGTAACCAAAAGTTCGTTACTTGCTTGTCAAAAAGCCCGAGTGCCATCACGGCTACCTATAACAATAATACTTGCTGGCATTGACAAGAGTGCTTAGTTTGGGAAGGTATGTGATCTAACTTAAGTGGAAGGTGGTATGTGATGCAACCGAGTTTAATCTGGAGTACAAATCAGTGGGAACAGACTTGCAATGTTATTCTACACTGGAAGCCAGTCGTCTACTCCGCACGCTCATGAAGTACAAGACGCTGGACGCTGATATCAGTCATGGCGATCCGTGGACGTCACCCATGGCTCGATGCCATCAGCCACTGACTCGAAAGGGTAAAGTCATGGGTTCGAATCCGGTGGGATCCGGCAATTACGTGCCACTGACGATTATCAATAAGGCAAACTGGCGGGGCTGTAGCTTTCTTGGATGCCTGGCAGCTGTCGTCGTTACTCGCAAATCGGGTTCACTCCAAATCATTAGCCACCTCCGAAGTTTTATTTACAATTCTATTAATTATTAGTTCTTGAATCTGTTTCTTTAAATTCAGGCGCTTGTGTGATATTTTTGATTACCTTAGATTACTCTAACTAAGAAAATATCTCGTTTGAGCAATTTTAAAAAGGCGAGACATAACGTGGGTAAATGATACAAAAGCAAAACGGAACATTGTTTTATTACGGGTAAAAGAGCAATGCTTAACAAGTCCCATGGAATGGAATTTATTGCAAAAATAATATTGCGTGAAAAAGTGAAAAGAGTTTTGGTGAACAGATCATAGAATTTGCATAATAAGGATGCTCGTGTAATAAATCAGAAAACCATTTTTTGAGAGTTTGGTAAGACATCGTTTGATTGCGTTTTGTAGCCTCTGGCTGACAAATCATATAATGAAATGTAAATGAGACAACGCATCGTCAACTCGCCTTTTAAATATCCCCAGATGGGGAGCAAGGTCAAGCTAATTAGGGTGGGCGTTCCAAGGCTGACACCCGCGGAAGGAAACGAAATTCTGTGGCATTCAGGCAGCTATACCGTATTGTCCGTTTCATAGGGTGACCTCTTAGATTAGTGTTGTGGTTCAATTCCAGCAGAGAACGGCAAATGTGGTTTGGGTTCTTCAGAATCTGGTAAACCATTATGAGATCTTTCGCAAAAGCCGATAGTGTCTATCGTACATTCTTAGCGATTTTAGCTTAAGCTGCTAGGGTATATGAAGGAAGCCCTTGCCGTTCTTGTTTCCCTTCGTTTAGGAATCTCGTGAGCAAACAAGATCCTATTTCTGCCACTTCTGCCAAGCCTGGGTAGGATATTCCACGTGCGGTTGCACGTAAGCGTTAAGCGTTTGGGGAAAGTGAGCGTTCAGACCGACCGAACGCTATACGAAGCAGGCCGAAGTCTTGTTTTCCGGTTCTCGAAGCCTTCTCTACTTGTTTTGAATACCTGAGATCTTGCAGTACAAGTACACTCAGGTCATGCTTCAGAGAGGCCTAATGCAAAGGATGGTCTATAATCGTGTAAACGCTCACCGGCTGATGACGCAGATGGATCACGTAGATATTGCGTAGTTTTAATAATTTCTGATATATTTGGCGTGGATTCGGCTCATGCATATCGTAAGTCGTGCTCCTGTTTCATTCTCTTCCTTGCTTTGGTGGGTGATCAATGATCAAATATAACAGATTTCAGTGGTTTCTCATTTCTTTCAACAATCTCCTCCAATTCCATCCTGGATGACAACTTCGCACCATTGTTGATTCCGTACCTCCTGATCACTTAAAGCTTTTTGTCCCTTCTACTTATAAACATTCGTTCGCACCTTTATATGGTTGACTAACTTATGATCCCACCTTAGCGAGCACCCAACTCCGTAATTCGGCGAACAACTGCCTGATTCGAAGGAACAACAATCAACGAGCGTCCGATAGAGGCACCACATAGTTTTATTGCTTTTCAGGCTTGTATTCCTCTCTTAGGCAACAAGTTTCATAACCGAAAATTGTCTAATGCACTTACCGATTTGTCGATGATGGCTAATCAATATTGATTTGGTAGTTTGGGGTTTTGGCGTTGCTATCCCCCATCCACGCACTCCACGACCGACGGCTCCGTCCTGGTTTTGGCGCGTCAGGTAGAGATAGCCGAGCGGAGAGAGGAATTCTGCGCATAGTGTTTGGCGGCTAGCGCCGTGATCATTGGGCCATCGAGCTCCGAAAAGCAATGATTAAGTAGATAGTTACATGCAATGTAGCAGACGATTTTGGCATTAACTTTGTTTGACAGCAGCTTCTCGTACTTAAATTAAATCCCGTACATTTCCGCTTTACCCATTTTGGAGGAAGTACCGACAGGTTGGGAACCTCTTCCTTATGATTAGTATAGACAACATATTACCTTACCTGCATGGTGTTCATTTCATATTGAATGGTTACACGGACAACCAATATGGTAGATCAGCTTACCAACTTACTGAAACCGAAAAATAGGGTAGTGAATATCTATACGTTCTAACAGGAGTATTCTTGCGCCGAAGTAACATTGACACATGAAAACGCAATCCAAGCGCGATCAGGGAAGCCACTCTGTATTTAATCGCAAAACAATTCGTGCACTGTTTTAATGCGCACTAAAAGCTCGGTTTCCAGAAGAAGGCACAAGCCTAATAAAAAATAGCGGGACCTGTATCATTCCATCTACATAAGTAACGTTTTCCACAGTGAATCGCATGAGTTTATCCTAGCATTGACATTATCAAGGATAATCCGACCTTCAAATAGTGAATAAAGCCATCTGAATCGCCAAGGAAGGATCACACTCAACAAAAACCGAGGCATACTTCAGATAACAATAAAAAGGTTGCATGTCACCTAAATAGGGATAAGTATCATACACTATGTACAGTATGGTTGACTTCCCCATCAGGGAACATTGGCAGCGCGCTTGCCGGATATGCAGTCTACTTAACATGGCTGACGATAATTTCCGTCGTGATGTCGAAATTAAGCTTGCAGATTTACCACTATGGCACAATAAACTTTCTACAGTGTCACCTGTTTTCTCTCCACCTTTAGCTCGTTGTAGTCACCGGGACGCATTCATGCAAAAAGAGCGTGGACTATGGACCAAAGGATACCGTCTGCATGTGCCACTCAACGGAAGCTAATGAAGGTCATGATTATGTAGAATTGCCAACATATGAAAACACCTGTGATGGGGTCAACGTTGCCAGGCGTCCAAGATGTAGGGTGGACTGTATCCTCGTTGTGCAAGGGTAGAAGCTCCTGGCGAGTGTTGCAGTGTAAAAAAACGAAATAAATCTGGCATTCCATTTTACTGTATTATAAAATATAACGAATCTACTTAATAAGCGTGTTGAAATCCACTGCTTCCTCATTCTTATGTGCCCAGTCTATCCAATTTTCACCTAGTTAAAAAGACAAGGATTCGTGTTTGCGGAATATATTTCAATGTGTTTAAACATCATTTAACACATTTATGTGGCTATCTCCCTTAACTACCTGCAGACAAGTTGGACTGAATTTGTGGGATCTGGTTCCGGACATGCCTGTCACTGCGGCCTCTTTGGGGACAGCCACAGGACCAATGCGCCTACACAGGTACCTTGGTTGGATTACGCTGCTGCACCGGTAGCTCTATCCAAACACCCCATGTCCAGTGTATTTCTGAGGGTATAAGACAGATTGGCATGTGGACGCGAGCCACTTTTCACCAATGGAGCTGGCCCACACTCCTTCCATACGCACAGAAGCAGCACTGATGTCTGACTAATAAGGGAATCATGGGTACCGGAAGTAAAAGACGTGAACGATGAATGATCTGCTTTAGAACTAACCCATCAGAAACGTACGAACTTGTACTAACTAATCTATTATATTATGTATAGAAAACCAGTAAAATAATCACACTGCTTCCCAATGCAAATTGACATAGAATGTGCAAAAAGCGGCTACTTGGCAAGTCCCCGTAGGATGACCTGAGTAAGGAATTTAAAACTAAGTATCAACACAAGAGGGAAAAGTGTTAATTGAAGTTGATAAGACTCACCAAGTTATTCACAAGTACAGGTGTGCTGTATCCCTAACTGCTACATAACCTAGAGGGTTGGTGAGCATACGGTTTGTTTTGCGTTACTACGTATTCCGAGGGAAACGGACATCGTCACGTAATATAAATGTAATGAATATCCTCGCAGCTGAGCGCCTGTCGACCGTTAAGTTAGCTCAGCTCCTAACTGTGAATTTCAATGATATGATGAATATACCTGCACTGAGTGACCGCTATGAAGGGACAAACTGAGGCCTAGTAGCGCCTGGAACGATCGATAAGTCTGACAGCACACGGTAGCATGGTTGGAAATTGATGATTAGTGCGTTTACAGTGGCCTCGCAGCCCAACTTGTATTGTGACAATCGATAGGTTGAGAACTACTAGTCAGCCTAATAGGCAAGTCAGTGCGATTCGTATCATTTGGTTATCGGATCATTATCTCATCAGTGGAGCAGATAAATCTGGACCTCAGCAATGTACATCCGGTGGGCGCTTTCTACTATCGCAGTTGACGATGAAACGCAATAATTTTCAAAACACTCGTATCCTCAGAACGCGCATTCCAACAGATTCCTAGTTTTAATGAGGTTGCTTTCGTTGCAATATGAAACCTTACTACCTGGAACTCCTCTTTCCTCGAAAACGTATAGTACACCTAAATTTAACCTCGGCTGTGTAGCAGTTGCCCACATTACCTTCTTGTTCGCCTGAGACAATGCTCTCAGCAATATAGTCTGTCCCGACGCACCATTGGCATCGTTTACCAGCACACCAATTCAGTTGTTAGTTCATTCGTTATAAAGCATATGTATATTTTCATGCAAACAGTGTCACAAGCATTAATACCAGTGAAGCAGATGTTCAAAATGTCCACCGGCGTTTAGCTTGCGGTGCCGAACTGCTCTGATGCAGTTGGCTAGCACTTTTTCCAAGGTCTCCGTCGTGATCGTACAACATTCGTTCAAAATGCTCAGTTTTATCTTCTCAATATAACTGGGATTGGTTTTGTAAACTCTCTGTTTTATCTAGTCTTAGAATTATAAATCTCAGGTGTTCAAATACATTGACTAGCAGGCCAAGCTGTTGGTCCTCCCTGACCGATCCAACGGTGACCGAAAGTCTCGTTGAGATAATCACGTACCGCTTGTGAATACTGTGCAGGTGCTGGTTCCGTTCGACTGCTAGTTATATTCGACCATCGGTACCTTCGCAATTTAGCTCACATCTGTGGGGAACACCGCATGAGCAATGAGCGAGTTCGACCCCTTGTTTACGGCACAGGAAAAGGAAATGAACCGCTCAGCACCGTTATTCCCCGCAGCAGACTCCGATGGCTCGGCCACGTGTTACGCATGCCAGCCCACCGACTCCAGCGAAGTGTGTTGTTTGCGCGCCGGGGGTGTGGGTGGAAGAAGAGGAGAGCTGGCCAAACGATGACTTGGACGAGATGAATGACTGCCATCACTTCGAAGCTGGCCTCGGTTGGAGCGTCACGACTCCCTTGTTGGGGTCCGAAAGACGATGAACACATTTGGCTAGGAGCCGACCTCAGTGGTGTTCGTGCTGCGAGTTTCTTTTTCCCACCCCATTCCTCTTAGCCTCCCCTCCAAGCAGGATCACATTATTTAGCATTTTATAAATTGCATAGTAAATTATTTTTCTCCTGCCGCATAGTGGCCCGCAGGTAGCTCACCAGAAGGATGCAAATGGGTTACCGGGAGCTCAGCTGGCTTGCACCTCTTGTATTTATTTTCATTTTTCTCTTATTTGTTGCGGCACAGTAGCTGAGGTGTTTCCCACCTCTAACTAACGTGTATAGTGTGTGTGTGTGCCCGCCATCTTGTTGCCACCGAACGGTACTCAACAGCCCTTCGGCCTGCACTTGCTGAATGACGCACGCATGCAACATTTCCTTGTAGGAAGATGCTAGAAAAACGGAGGCATTCGTATTACTAACTAACAACCCACCGGTCACATTTCTGGAAAAGAAAGTTGGTTACACGGTTTTCAGCTATTTGATTCAGGTCATACTATCAGCTTTGCATTATGTCGCATACGGGAAGCGCTGTATCGTTGTGCATTAATTGTTGCCTAAGAATGCTTCCTTCATCGCGTTCTTCAGGTCCCAAGACAATAGATAATTAGTTAGAAAATTTGGGTTTCGGTGGGTTCAGGTGTGCATCAAGCGAATCATTGCTCAAACCTAATTGTGAATAATTAAGAGTTAGATAGAAGAAGCGTTAGAAAATGACCTGTAGATGTTTCAGCTCGAAGTCCTCTCGAATTTACTTCCGAGAGATTTGGTTCTGCAAAATCAGATGGACGATGGCCAGAGAAAACAAATCAAAAGGACAAACAAACGCTTTTAATCAATTAGCGTACTTTCACTACACAGGGATCTAGTAAACTGAATGCAATGTGCGTGCGTGCGAAATCACTGAATGACTATACCTTCCTGTCATTATCCTAAGACCGTACGCTTTGCTATGACTCATGAAGGGTAAATAGTAGACAACTTCGTTTGAGTCACGTACTACTTCGGCGGTGGGCAGCAATTTGGCCCAAAACACTGAATATGAACCAAGCACTGTGATTTTTCTATATCCATCTACTTCTACTAGACAAACCTGACGGACACACACTACCACGGATCACTTCTCAGCTTGTGATGTTATCCGTGTGGCATCCAGAACGATCGATACCAGCATTCGTACAGCAGCCTAACATTGTAACACAAGCCCATATGCTGTGCGTAGGAGTAGAAAGGAAGGCAAATTATCCGCTCATCTTAAACAATCCACACAGCATCGACAAAACAGCTGTTGTCATTAAGTCTCTAGGCTTTGGATATTTCCGATCTGTGTATCTCCACCCGCCGAAAATCTATACGTGTTTATGATGCTTATATGCGAGTTGCAGCCCACTGAACCCAATCAGTACAGAAACCCCAACACAGACATGAACTGTGCATGCGATTCTTGACCGAGTTTCCGGAACTTTGATTGAGCCACTTGATTAATATTATTTCGGGGAATCCGTCCCACTTTGTCGCATTGCGCACAACACATTTCTCGAGCCATACTTGATTAGGCGGAAATAAATGTGCTTCGATTAACCGGTTCTAAGCATCCTGTTCTGCATTCAATCATTAGCTTATTAGATCTGACGAAATTGACGGTTACATCGTTTCCAGGTAATTTCATAGAAACCAGAAGCCAAAGAAAGTCGACGGAATAGTTTGGCGTTTGCACCGCACAGCATAAGCAGGAGTACTTGGAGAGATATACGAATGAAATTCATTCGCTGCGCCGGGCAATGTCCTAGATGCTTTGCGTTGGACAAAAATCACTAGATGTTGCAACTTGCTTATGGCAAGCAGGATCTGTTTAAACTGTCGAGCAGAAGGCTGTTGTCTTAATGGACATTTAATTTCTTAATGCAAGATTAGAAGGAACAGTTTTTCAGGAGATTGTTGCAGTTGATGACGAGTTGGTAACGTGGACTGGACCAGACCCAGATGCTATTTTTAAAGAGATACTGGCTGTCGCACACCCCCACGAAATCAAACACGAAACGCCTGATGAAGAACTAAGTGAAGATATCATAGAAACCACGGAAGCTCCAAATGATGTGGATGTTAGGCTCGTTTAATGCAACCGAAGTCATTAGTAGCGAAAAATGCTCCAAATATTCTGCGTAGTGTAGCTTGTGCTGAGAGCGCGTTTCCGTTACATTTGTGACAAGAGGAAGAATCAGACAAGGGTCGACTTCTTCAAAATAAGATTTATCTTTGAGCAAATCACATCGCGTTTTGCATTTGTTCAGCAATATATGCTTGAACTGTATTATCCGCTATAGAGGAGGTCACATGCTATAATCGAAACAAAAGAGAAATCTCAAAATAAATTTCATAATCTACCATTCGCAACGGGAAGGTAAAGTGCGTAAACGTTTTGTATAGAAGCTTCATCTGTTGCCTCTCTATCTGTGTTGACAACGTTGACCCAATCCCTTGAGTGGTCACCTCACGGAGTTTCACTGTATGATGTTAAAATTAAAATGGTATTTTAGTGGAATCACCATGGTGTTCGTTTTGAGACATGTGTAAAAGGACAGATATTCTCACAAGATCATATGAATAAATCCATCTGGTCAGAATTTGGGAAATGCACCGTTTGTGTAATGTAGCTTCCGGGCTAACACAAGT